GATGTGACAACCCGAAATTTCTATCTTGTAAAGCCATTTAATTCAATCAAAAGTCAGACTTGTTTCTGCTGTCTTCTAGCATTGTTAAGGGTCTGTTTGAGTGTTCTAAGCCTACTACATTCAAGGATTGGGTGTTAGGAAGTATCTACTAGAGTTCATTGTGCAACATTCAAGCCGAAAACTCCATCACATGGAGTTTACGGCCGTAAACTACAGCTTACGGTCGTAAGCTCTTGTTTGGCCGTGAACTAGCCTCTTAAGTATGATATTCCTTCATTTTCTTCACTTCTCACAACTCCAAGTCAAGAACACTCAATTCTCTCTCAAGTATTATCAAGAACACTTCCATTATTCTTCAAAATTGTAAGTGATTCATTCTTTATTAGTTAATATCCTTCTCGATCTAGTAAAACCCCATGATTTCATCCGTGAATTCATCTCTTTTGGTTTAGATCTTCAAATCTTCATCCATTTCACCAAGAACACACACTTGTTCTTGTTGGCCGTGAACTCTCAAAGGCTTCCAAATCGTAAGTATCCTTTCATATTCTTGTTAACCACTAGAAACTCTTGAAGCCTCATGAAACAAACACCCCTTTAAGCTTGAATCAAGAACCAAAGTGCTTGATCTTCAAGAGTTTACGGCCGTAAACCCTTGTATGGCCGTAAACCCTTCTTGAATTATGTCATGGCCATGAACCCTTCCAAGTCTTGGCCGTAAACCCTAGCTATTTCATGTGTTGGCCGTAAACTCAATGGTCGTGAACACCTTTTGGCCGTAAACACACCCTTGTGTGGCCGTGAACACCTTTTATACAATCATTTATGATTGTAACACTTCATTCCAAGTGTTTCCTAGTCCCTAAGTTTGTTCCCTATCATGATTTGTTGTTATATACACTAATTATATACATATATGTGTTATTATATGCTTATTAGGATTTGTTTGTGCTCGGGATTTCACTTGGCATACTTAGCATCCTATATCGATCTTCCATTCGAATCACTCACTACAGGTGAGTTCATACCCCTAACTTATCTTTTAAATGATTTTAAATGCTTTTTTATGGGGGGAATACAAGTAGAAAACATTATAGTTATTGTATCAATCACATGTGATTAATAACTATCAAACAAGTGGATTTCTTATACTTCAAAACTATGTTATCAAACAAACTATTTCAAAACATTTTATAGACTGACATCAAGTCATCTATAATCATTCAAATGGTTAAAACTCTTTTATATGCTAAACTCTTTTAAACTTATATATTGTCAAAATCATGTCTATATAGATATAGTTATATAAATAAGGTTGAAAGGGCTTAGGACTGATAACTCGCTTTATTTCCTGTTCCTTGTTTGGTTTTGGACTTAGGGTATCGGTTGTTAGTCCGAGTGTCGTTTAAATCTTAGTTATATATTATGTATATGTGTATAGATATAAAAGTTCTTCCATCAGTTTATTACCTTTGGGTAGCAAAGGTGTACAAACATGATCAGTCATTCAAACAACAGTACTAGTAAACTATAATAGGTATAGTTTAGAGGATTACTACTTACTATTTTCTAGAACAATAAAACATAGAAGAGTCAGTTCATACATGAGTCAGTTCAAACATACTATACACTAGAACAGAGAGAACATACTATACAGTAGAACAGAGAGAACATACTATACAAATACAAGAACAATATAACATTAATGTGAGCCACTACTTCATGGCACGGCAATGCACTGTTGTGTCATGTTTTGTAACCAGAGTCTCATGGAGGGAGAGCGTGAATTTGTGTATAGATCTATACGAGATTGACCATCCTACACCTTGCTGCTAGCTACAGTGGGACCTGCAGGTCTACGGGTGACGAATGTCATACCATTTCGACGTCTTTAATCGTCGTGTTTACTAGTCAATCAAGTATAATTATAATCTCATCACATTTTACCTTAATTAAAGAAATTGGTTTAAGGTAGTTAGTACACCTGTAGTTACTTTATACAATACTACTATACATCTTCATTTTCACATTACATTCATATAGTGATCTTCTCACATAAACGGTAATGTAAACTATTTTCTAGTAATGATAGTCATACTTGGGAAAAACACTCATTTTTACAAAAGGATAAACATACAAAACAGTCGGGTCTTGGTAGAAGACTACTTTAGTAGAAAATATAGGATTTTCTAGGAAGTATACAAACATGTACATCAACCACTTACAAACAGTTTCCATCAAACTCTTACAAACATTTTTCATCAAACTTATACAAACAATGACACTAAAATACATATGAACTCACCAGCTTAAATGCTGATCTACGCTTTCAAAATAACTTGTAATCTCAGGTCACCAGTAGATAGGTACCGATGACCAGGTTTTGAGAATACGGAGCATGTTCAAGACTCGTCTTTTATTTTGATTCATATTTTGGTGTCTTTCAAACTATACACAGAACACACTTGTAATAAATTATATTATTAATGCAATGGATGATGTTGTTTCTTGTTTTACTATTATGCATTGTTATGATATTGTACATGACGTCCTCCGCCCCCGAACGTTTCCGCCGTTCTGGTTTGGGGGTGTGACACCAGAAATCGCAACCATGAGAACTTACCAAACTGTTGCTACAGTTCCAGAACCGCCTTCCCGGGTTGTGATATTTCCAGCTCGTCGTCTTTCCAGAAGAAGTAATCACATATTTCTCGGGTAACCTTCTAAAATCGATCACAATGGTGTAATTGACATCTATAGTAAAATATTAATGGTCAATTGTGCAAAAAATTAATATAGTTGGTCAAATCGGACAAAACGAAAAAGCTAATTGTGCTACAGTAGCATTTTCCCCCATGACATTTATTTCATCACTCACCATCTTGATTTGGTTGCCTAAACGGATGGTGCAATCAAATAGCAGTGATAGAGATTCAGTCTCTGTAGGATCTTGGGGCTAAGTTATTGAGGGTTGTCCGACTTCGTACCCTTTCTTCCTTTCTTCTTCACGGTTTGCCAATGGTGGTTTGTTTTGCATTGGTTCGTCCGGAAAGGAGCTATATGGAACCTTTTTGTCCTTAGGCCTGGGAAATTATCCTTATGTTAAAAATGTTTTGAAAATGAAATCAAATATTAGGTCTACGCCTCAGTTCAAAATGGAGTAATCCGCAAGCAATTTAGGATAATCCACAACTTCAATTGCTTATAATAATATAGATCAACATACAATAAGCCATATTACAATAGGGTTCATGGTGGTTGACTGACGAACCTGAACTATTTTTACCAATTGTTAGATACGACTTATATATTACGGAACCTAGTTGAGTATTAAATTTTAAAATCTTGAATTCAACAAGTTATGCGATGTATCATATAAATGTTCTCATTGAGGGACCGAGTTCATACATAACTCTATATCTTGGTATTTTGTTGTGTATTATTATTGTTTTGTACCTCTATACTATATTTCAGTGTTTTGTTGTGTAGTATTATTGTTTTGTACCTATTTCATTTCAATAATCGAGATTAATCAAATATAAAAAAGAAACAACTGAAAGTATATTGTCTTAATTGGATAAATTTTTCAAAGTATAATGCCTTAACAAAGAAAAATGACATTACGTGTAATAGAAAGAAATTAAAGTAAGGCGTTATAATATGCAAAATAAATAAATAAGCAAAACATATATATGTATGATAAATATATATAGCCAAAAATTAAAGCATGACATATATATACGATAAATATATAAAATTGAAGCTGAAAAAACTACGTTAACGTCCGAATAATAATAATAATAATAATAATTGTTGATTAGCCAACAGATTATTTCGATCAGAAATTTTGGTTGGAAAAAAAATAACCTAGTAGTTTTATTAAAATACTACTCTAGCACAATTAAAGGTCAAGTTTATGGTCAAGTCCATTAACTTAATTAAAAAATAATAATAATAATAATAATAAATAAATCTTTGATTAAAAGATATAAAAAATATGTTGAAATGCAGAAAATAACAAGATATTTTTCTTTGGTTAAAAAAACTAATATTAATCTAGCTTTCCACGAACTCCAACTTTCACCATATTCTTTTATGATGGTTTATAAGAACAATATGAAGTTAAAAAAACATAAAAGTAAATTTTACAAAAAGAAGTTGAAATCACAAACGCAAAACACAAAACGTACAACATAAATCAAAACCTTTTAACGCTTTTAATACACAATACAATATTGTTTGAGATTTGAAATTTTAAAAGTAATAATAATAATTCATGTTCACCCTCTGTTTTTCATTTAACCAAATTAAAAACAGTTTTTCTTTAAGTTGAACCTAATAACCAAAATCTATATGTTAATCCATGCCCTGGTATTTAGAATTATAAACCCTAACTTCACATTCCACACATATACCAACAATCAACATTATTTGTACAAATTAGTGAAACACAAAAAGATCATACCTTTTTAAACAGGGAAATCGAGGCTGAAGAAAAATTCAAACCCAAGTCGGGAAATCTCCAATATTCCATCAGCTAAATCCATCGAAAATGATACATACGTATCAAATTTAAGCACACAATCAACGAATTCAACCTCCATGTTCATTAATCAACGACTTCCATTATGTGATTTGCAGAAATGTATAAGAATTTGAAAATTATCACAGAGAAATGCAAAACAGAAGCCGATTCACTTGCTAGCATACGGATGAATGCTCTTTAAAGGAGAGAGAGAGAGTTTAGTAATATAGTTGAACAAGTGAACCATGTAGGGCTATACAACACGAAATTTCCATATTGACCCTATGGCACGTAGAAAGTTGCGTCTTACACGAAATCATAAAAACCTAAATGATAAATTTAATAATTTTATATTCTTTTATATACATTTGTATTCATTTAAATGATAATAAATGTATTAAAAAAATAGGAAGAATTTCATTTATATCCTTACAAACTTTAAATATTACTTTTATATCCTTACAAATAATACAATTACACATATATCATTCTCAAACTATAAAACTCACATATATCCAAAATTATAATTTAATTTGGATTATATAAATTAATATTAAAAAACTTATCTAAAATTCAAAATTTCATACAAGTTTACCAAAATACCATTCCCAAATTAAAGATTAGCCTACCCACACCCTCTTCCCCTTCGTCTCCTTGCACCCAAACCGTTGCCGGAAGTATAGGTTCCTCGAACCTACAACAACCAAAATGAATTGATGATTCTTAATAATACAAAGTGCCCTTGCACATGTCAAACTCACAAATCACTAACGTGGCCTTGTATATGGCCTCAATTTTTTATTAAAGTAAGCAATTTTTCTAAAGACATATTCGTTGTTGACTTACGATTACATAAGCAAGAAATTGAACCATTTATCTTCCAACTTGTAAGAAAATCGGGATAAAATAGCTTTGGAAATTCTGAAAATTGTGGTTTCACTTTCAGATTAAAGTATTTGGTGGCACTCCCAATCTTTAATCGGATAAGACTCAGAGAGACAAGAACAAAGAATGTTTGATGATATTTCGTATGTACCAGAAAATGAGACCAAAAACCAACTTTTAGATCCTTGTCTGAAAACTGTCATATGACAGTTTTAAACTATCATAAAACGGATATATGGATAAGGGTCAAACCAATGGTCAATTATCTGAAAAATCAATTTTCTGATGCATTTTTAATATAGCTCGACCCCAGCCAGGGGCTCTGCCCCTTGGACCCCGCCAGGGGCTGCCGCCCCTTGGACTCCGCTCCCAGGGGCGCTGCCCCCGGATCCCCGTTCGTTCAGGGGCTTCGCCCCTAAATGACAGTGTACTTTGAAACTTGATCAAACTTAAACAAGTGTGTACTCCACACCTTCCTTACTTGTTTAATATTTATCAAGATCACTTTTGGTCAACAAACTAATCCCATTACACTTAAATAACATTGATGATAACAAAATCACCAACACAACTTACAAACATAAATTAAACAAACTTGTACGTCGATAATACACAAATTTATTTGTGTTAGCATGAAACATCCAAGATATTAAATCATAATTTATTTGTCCATGGCAAACTATAGAACACAAAAAGAAACAAAAAGACCATCGCCCAACCATACGTAGAAATACTTAATATTAAATTTAGGATTTAATATTGAAAATGGTATTTTGGTAAAGTCTTATGGAATTTTTGAAGTTTAGATAAGTTTTTTAATATTAAATTGATATAATCAAAATTAAATTATGAGTTTGGATATAAATGTGAGTTTTATAGTTTCAGAAGGATATATATGTAATTTTTAAGTTTGCAATGATACTTAAGTAATATTTAAAGTTTATAAGGATATAGATGAAATTTTCCCAAAATAATATTACTTCATTAAATATCACACCATTTAATATTGTCAGGAGAATTATTAGTTAGAAAATATAGAAGAATATTTAATTTTCTATCACAGAAAAAATATAAGTTTTTTAGTTTATTTTATTAATATGAGTAATATATAAATATTTTAATTAAAATAAAATAGTTTATATGGTTATAAAGCCTATTTTCCCATCAGCGCCCCATTTCTCTTTACCGAAATATATATACAACAAATCATAAGAATACAGTCGTCGGACAATATACATCTGGAAAAATACAATAGTAGGCCCAATAAATATTACACACATGTATCTTATATTGAGTTTGAACTTTGACGACTCAAACTTTTCATTTTAGTCCCCTGTTTATTTGGTTTGTTGAAAATAAATGTTCTGTTTGTCGGATCTGTCGGTTAAAGCATGACCATGCCCTTCTTTTGTCTTGTCAAGAAGTGACCGTACTTTTAGATAAGGGATGATGAGTTAAAAGGGTAATATATTTTTTGATTTGTACACATTTGATCACTGAGTTTTTTCGTCCACATTTACCCTTTCAACTTGTTAAACTGTATACATTCAGTCTTTATGACTGGCTACTCCAGGTTACCCGGTAAAAATGACTTAATAGGGTAATATATTTTTCACTTTGTACACATTTTTTTTTTTGGAAAATAAATCATTTTTTTGTACTTATTCAGTACTTATGAATGATTTTTTAGTTTTTTCTCACGAAATCTTACGTGGGACATTCATTAATGAGGTGTATGGGGCTTTTGATACTTATATCCATCGCGATCTCGATTACTTGGTTGCTTAGGTCATGTGTTCTGAACGTCATAACTTCTTTATATGATCTCAGATTTTAACGATCTTTATACCCATGCTTTCGTATTTTAGTCTACTACAACTTTCATTTAGATTACCCCCATTAAAAAATAATATATTTTTACTTACGATTTTTATATCCATACGCGTTGGCGGATTTAGTATGGTCCCGGTATTGCACCGACAACACCTGTTTTTTCTGTTCGCGGTGGAAAATTTTTCGCTTTTTTTTTACGTTTATACCTATTTTCCATGTATCGGCAACATCTATTTCATCTCGGCAACACCTACTATGTATTACTGCGTCTTCTCCTGTCCATACGTTTTTTATGAATGCATGTATGTATGTTTTTTTTTATAAAATCGTTAGTAAAAATATATTACATTTTAACGGGAGTAATCTTAATGAAAGTTGTAGTAGACTCAAAAAATGAACATGTTGATAAAGATCCTTAAAATATGATATCGTATGAAGAAGTTACGATGTTCAAAATACAAGACCTAAGCCAAACCACAAGACTTACGCAACCAAGCAGTCGAGATCGCATTGGACATAAGCATCAACAACCCCAAGCACCTCATCAATGATTGTCTCACGTAAGATGTCGTGAAAAAAATCTAAAGAAATCATTCATAAGTACTGAATGAGTACAAAAAAGGACTTATTTTGAAACAAAAAAATGTTAAAGACTAAATATGTACAAAAATATTAAGGACTAAATGTGTACAAAATGAAAAATATATTACCCTATCAAGTCATTTTTCCCGGCTAATCTAGAGTAACATGTCATAAGGACTGAATGTGTACAGTTTAACAAGTTTAAGGGGTAAATGTGGACGAAAAAAAAACTCAGTGACAAAATATGTACAAATCGAATAATATGTTACCCTTTTAAGTCATATAAATAATAAAGCTACAAAGACTTCGGCAAAGAGACTACTATTCATGAATAGTAAGAAAACTTATTCTCATTTATTTTCCATGTCAGAACCTCATCCTTACATAGTAGTAATTCTTTTCTTCATTCGTTTTTTCTATATTTATTTCTTTTCTAAATAATCTAAAAAACATTTTAATCTTTTAACTATTAAAAGATAATAAAGTTTTTGACCGAATAAGTGTTTTTGAAAAACTTATTTATCCAGCATGTATATTTTTAAACTTATTTACAAAAACAGGTTATTTAGTTTTTTTTTTTTGCCTTTTGTTTTTTTTTTTTTTGCTTTTTTAATATATGCCATGTTGAACATTCAACCGTACAAAATCAAAACATAAACTCAAATTAAAATATTCAAACAAATCTAATTTCATTCACTGAAATTTCTTTTGATGGAGTCAAATCTAATTGCATTCACTAGAAATTTTAGTACTAACAAATGTAGACAATAAATCATAACTATGATAGAATCTATTACATTTGGAATAGAACAATTAACCAAAGCAGAGAAACAATCAACTAATAAAACCGTGATGGAAGATTAAATACATAAAGCGAACTGATGGTTAAAAAATGGAACTCACAAACGTAGACAAAAAATCATAACTGTGATAGAATCTATTACACTTAGAATCAAAAGTTTCAAATAACCAAAACAAGATCAACTAACTAAACTGTGATGGAAGATTAAATACACAAATTCAACTAATGGTTAAAAAATCGAACTCACAAATGTAGACAAGAAATCGTGATAGAATCTATTACATTTGGAATCAAAAGTTTCAATTAACCAAAGCAGAAAAACAATCAACTAACAAAATTGTGATGGAAGATTAAATACATAAATCGAACTGATGGTTAAAAAATCGAACTGAGGTGCAAAAGAATCGTTTCTTATAGTTCAAAAAATCGAACTGATGGAAGATTATGGTTCAAAATTTGAACCTGTGATGGAAATCAAAAATCTTACCGGTGCTAGAATCGTCGCCACACACCTGAAATGGAGTGGCCGGCTGTCTCGCCGCGTGGAGTGGAGTCGCCGAAGATGAAGTCCTGGCCGGAGTTTGGTGTCATAGCGGTCTTTCAATCGTTCCGGCAAGAGCGACGTTCCAAGAATGAGAGTTAGGGTACGGTGATTTTTTCTTTTTCACTAAATTACTAAAAAACCCTTTTTTGATAAATATGATTAAGAGTATACCTATTGCGTAAATAAATTTTTTAAAAACACCATTATGGTTAAAAACTCAAACATAATACCTATCACTAATATTATAATGTTGGGTGTTAGTTAATCATCATACACAACTACTAAAAATTTGGTATATCCACGAATATATTACTCTTATTTTTTGATCTTTAAATAAAAAAAATATACATATTATTATAGAGTTAGAGAGAGATACAAAAAAAAAAACAAATTGATTAGGTGTAGTCTTCCGTTGTGTAGACCAAAAATCACCACGACCACTAAACATCGGGATGTAGTCTTCCGTTGTGTAGACCAAAAATCACCACGACCAAAAATCACAACGACCACTAAACATCGGGATGGTCATCACCATAGTTGTTCGTGGCCACATTAACCACAAAGAGGCTCATGATGAGCATTGCAGATGGCCTAAGACCATCTGCATCGCCTCTTGCAAATACATCGCCTCTTGCACATGTATTTGCAATGCCAAATCATTCTATAAATATGCGGCATCATATTTCATCTTTCAATATGTGAAAGACTTGCATTGTGGACTCCACCACAAGATATCATTACTTTTCATTTAAATAATTCTTTTTTTACATTTTTTTTCAAAATTTTCCCAACACCACACTAACATAATAATTAAAATATAAATTCTCTTTGTTTAAGAGATAGATTTGGCAATCTTTTTATTTATTTATTTATGTACAACACTTATATATATATATATATATATATATATATATAT